TCTCTGTTCTTCACAACACTGTCAGAGTTATTGTCCAGAAATAGGCCCTTCTACTCAGTGCTATTATTCTCATACTTTAAAACATTTTATTGTTGAGTAGTAGAGGCAGTGACACCCTGACACTTAGCATAGCAAATAAGGTCCCCACGGTTCTTGTCCAGACCTATCTTCTTGGGGCCACATTTACTACTCCTGTCTTCCTGAACTTCCCCAGTGCCTCAGTTTGCCTGAATCCATTCTGTTCACTGATGCTTCTGTACCCTAACACGTGCAGTTTTCCTCAGCTGCAGCAAATGTTAACCACACCTTACTGGCTCTTCCAGCTCCAGCCCTCATTTCGTGTCTTCTGTGAACCCCATTACCAGTGGTCCCAGGCAGTGAGTCGGTCCTTAGCACGGCAAAGTGTGTTTTTCATGCTTGCTAGCTTCTCCTTCCAGATGGGAGCGTTCTTGAGGCCAGCACCTTATTTTATTTGTCTTTTTATCCTCCTCTGTGTTCAGCACTTGGCTTAATGCCCTGCATAGCTATTTGCTGAACTGAAAAGAACTGAGGGTTTTAGAAACTCAGGTAACCAGGTGGATGGTGATAATGTTAACTGAAACACAGAAGCAGATTTGGGTCTTGAGTATGTTGAATGAGATATTTATGTTATGTTTAAAAAATATTCAAGAGATGTCTGAAAATTGGATACAGGATAAACAGATCTGAGTGTCACTGTACATAGTATATAAGTGATACTGCCAGTCATGGAAGTTGTGACCACATGCAGGCTGAGAAGAGAGGACATATGAGAAGACAGTTGCACAAGTGGCTGGTGGGCAGGGAACAGGAAAAGAAGCGAAACTCAGAGCAGTTAACTTTCTTTTTCTTTAGTAGGATGTGATGGCCTGGGAAAAAATTCAGGGGAACCGATGTTATTTTTTTAAAAGATCATTTGTGTGTTGTATATTTCTCTTAAAAATAGGATTAATATATATATTTTTAAGAGTGAACAATTACCACTTTTCCATATTTTATTGATTCTTGGCCATTACCATCCTAAATGGTTTCTATTATTAGTGTAATAGGAAATTTTTAATGTGAAACTGGCTGCAATATCAGATTATTGCAATTCATGTTTATTGAGCTCAAACAATTCATTATTTCTTTCAAGGGCAAGAACATAATATATTTTTACCTCTGGGGAGGGGGGGTGGATCATTTGCATAAGAGAAGGAAGGATTCAGTGCTTTCTTTGCTTGTGGGTTTCCTCTTGTTCACTTTTGCTCTAGATATTGGTGGTTATGTTCCAGTCCTCCTGCATATGCCCAAGAGGATTGGGAGTGGAGTGGACACCAGCAGAAGCACCATTTTTTCCTGTAGAGATTAGAAGCAAGGAGCTAATTGCCCTGCTTGTCAAGGCTCAGGACAGAGAGGAGGAAGAAACAAGTATAAAGGTTTTGGTTTTGGAAAGAAGTTGGAATCTCCTGACCCTGGGACCTTAAGATCCACAAAATTGCTGAAAGAAAAAGTCCTACCTTATTGAAAGGTAAGATATTACACTGTTTTAAGGTTTAAGCTATATTAGCCACATGAGCATATTTTCATGAGCTGTGAAATCAAGCAGTCATCGCTTCTACCAGGCTGAAGTTTTTGTGACATAATCACGCATCCTGCCTTCCTGGTGAGATGGAGATCTGTGTGGCTGGAGAGGTGTTCACAGTGAGGGAGAGCCTTCACAAACTTTCGCTCAGTTCTGAAATGACATTCATTGAATGCCAGGCACTGTGCTAGGCCTTGGATATACAGAGATGAATGAATCTCCCTACCTGCCTTCCAGAAGTTCTCTTTCAAGGAGAAGAAAAAACTGATGATTACAATGTGATAAGTGCTATAATAAATAGGTCATAAGTGTAATAAGAGTGGTTTAACTCTGTCTACTAATGTTTACGTCCTAAAGGATTAATAGGAGCTCATGAGGTTGGAAGAAAGGGTTGGGCACATGAGTTAAAGTGAATCATATGTTCAGGCATAGATACAAAAGAGCATGCTGTGCTGGAAGAACACATCAAATTCCAGAAATTGCTATCTGAATGTCTGCTGTGGGCACAATGAGGGAGAGTGATAAGATGTTGCAAAGTAGGTAAGTTGGGGCCGGTCGCAGAGGCCTTGGTGCATGCTCGGGGAAGCCCTGGAGATAACAAACAAAAAGCCTGTGAGGCTACTTCCCCAAGACGGGTAGGAGAGAAAATAAATATATGTCGTAGAACAGGAACGTGCCTGCAGCTCTCTAACTGGGTCCCTGCCTCTGTCTTTTTCTCTTTCGCTAACATTCCTGGTATCCTTTCTTCTTATTAGGTTGATTCAAAACTTGGTAGGTTACTAAAGGGTAGGAAATTGATCTAGACTGTTGAGAATTCCTAAGTCTTCAATTCATGCCAGCCTTGAACACTTTGTAAAGTGTATTTCATGCCTCAGCCGAAAATCCATTTTCTTCATTCTTGAGAGAAAACTGTAAACCCATTAATGAAGGACGACTTTGGCTGAATAAATGGAAGTGGCTGACTTTGTCTCTAATCATGACCAAAACAGGGTCATGAAATCATGGTGCCCCAAGAAAAGAAAACCACGCTAAGAGAAGTCACACTTGACTCTGAAACCGTTGACAGGAGTGAAGGAGTCTGAAGACTCATCACAGGGGCCCCGAGTGGACCCACAGGCTCTGGCTGCAGCAGAGAGGCCAGACAGAAGGGACGTGTTTTGGAGCTGCTGGTGCTGGAGCATTCGTTGGCCATCCTGTTAGGGGGCTCTGTACTTGATGATGTCACAAATGAGGGACCAGTGAGAAGACGGTGACCTTGGGGGAGGCTCTGGGTGAAGTGAAGAGGGATGTCTGCATTCCATGGGCTGTGACCTTCACTAAGAGGAGGGCATGTCCCCCGGTCACTGACAGAGCAGTTTCAGAGCCGCTCACAGAGCCTGCTGTGCACTCCCCCCGGAGGGGTGCAGACAGTCAGGCTGGCCGGAGGGCTCCGCAGACATGCTCAGGCTGCGGGACGGCAGGAATCTGATCTCGGTGGCAGTTAGTTTCAAAGATGTGTGTAATCTAGTTGGAGCAAGGAGAGGAATCATGTTTGAAGGAATACATTTCAAAAAGCCTCTGCGAAGACTGGGAGGCTGAGTTTAAAAGGCAACAGTTTCAGGCCAGAAGCAGAGCATACCTATAAAGTTAGCCCAGAAAGCAAAAAATGGACAGAGAATAGAAAAATACTCAAAGGATGTCTTGAAGTACTCAAAATGAGATACATCAAGGGATGTTACTGGCTTTAGTCTTCAGGGCTAGCTGTATACCTACAAGGTTTTACCTTCGGGTTAGCATCTGAGAATATGATGGCTTATAGGAGGGATGGTGGACTGACAGCTGAGGCGTGTGGCAGTTGCCATAAGAAAATCTTTTCTGATAGAAGAGAACATACCAGTGAATCTGAAAATAATGTCAGCCTGAGCTCAGCTTTCCTTATGTAACAGATGATTCTCATACTGGCTCTCCATAAAGTGCATGGAATATACTTTAAATGTATTTACATCTAATTAGACTAGATACCATTGCCTCTAGTTTCAAATTCTAGTCGCAGGTAAAAAAATATTCTGAATGTATTGAATGTAAGAACTGTCACAGAGAATGTGCTCATTCAAGTTCAGAATTCGTAATAGAAAATACATGATTTTAATGGACTGGGAGGGTTTTGTCAATTAGCAAACTTTTCACTTTTAATCTAAGAAACTGCTTATTGGAAGAGTCAGAAGGAGACCATGAACTGACCCCAGAGACCCCAGGCAGCAAAGCACTAAGTGGAGATCTTGAAAGGGTTTAGCTAATAATCTGCATCTTTATGAATGGTGGACAATTAATTTACCCTAGAAAGAAATCCTCTAGGTTAAAAAAAGATTTTTGTTTTCATGATGGGTTCTGTTGTACTCACTTATAGAAAGTAAAGAATTTGTTATGGTTTTAGACTTCATCAGTTTTTGGAAACAAGAAAAGTTGAAATATAGGTTTCCTGAGGGATAAAAAAAAAAGAGAGAAAATCATAACCTAGTTTAATAGCTTTTCAACCTATGTAGCTCAATAAAAGACTGGTATTTATGCCTGTTAGAGTCTGAATAAAATTAGAGGAGGTTTTAAGAAATGTTTTATTTGTGAACATTTGAGCAACATTTCAAAATGCTATAATTTTTTCAACATGTTTGCATGATTAAGAAAGACCTATATATTACCTTATTTATGAACTGGGCTGTGACGGCGTGTTATAATAGTAAAGTACTGCATATTTTTAACATGTTTTTGTATAATGTCATTTGACATTCAAAACAACCCTGTAAAATTAGTAGGGCAGCTATTAATATCTCTGTTTTACAAGTGAAGAAGAGTGAGGCTCAGAGAGGCTGAACACTTTGCCTGATGTCACAAAGCTATACTTTGATGATTAGACTACCTTGGTGTCTCAGTGTTTCCTTGAGATGAGCATAATTCAGTTTTGAGGGCACAGATTGGTTTTGTCTACTTTTTGTCGTCTTAATTGTTGCTTTCAAAAATAAACTTTCTATACAAGGTTGGGAAATGAACAGAGATAAACATTTTTGTTCTATAAACAGTCATTGAGAGTAGGCGTCAACATGCTCTTAAGTCACAAGAACAAGATGACATCCTCATTAGCACCCCAGCACTGGCTAAAAAGGCATGGTTCATTGCTATTAAAGTGTTTTTATTTTTCCGGGAGGACCAATAATACTTAAGAATTCGAGGAAATTTTTTCATTATGCTTTATACCTAACATTAAAGTTCTGGAAACAAATTTATGTGTGCCTTTGAGGAGTTACGGGAAATTTTTCGGTTTCAGTTCCTTTACTCAGACTGATTACATAATTCTAAAATTCTAGATATGACTTAACAGATTACTAACTGTTTATGGCCATTTTATGAACTGTCCTATGAAATGGGGTATTTTGTCATTTTACAGGATGAAGAAACTCGAAAAGATTATGACTACATGCTGGACCACCCGGAGGAGTACTACAGCCATTACTACCACTACTACAGCCGGCGCCTGGCCCCCAAAGTGGACGTCAGGGTTGTGATTTTGGTCAGTGTGTGCGCCATTTCAGTGTTCCAGGTGTGTACTAATGGCCGTTATCTACGTGCATGTGCCGGAGAGCACACTGCCTACTGCTGGTCACTAAACCTGAACTAGAAGTGCCTTTTTGTAGAATTTTGCTGCTAGTTGAGATTAATTTCTTACATTAGAAAAATATTCATTTATTTAGCCAATTGATAGCATTGGAACCTTTGTCGGCAGGAAATCTAAGAAATTGATCATGAATGTCATTAGGACCAAAACCAAACACCCCCGATCTTTTTCTCATTGCCCCGTCTGGGGTATTCTCCATGTAACAGCCAGAGTGAATGTCACCTAGAGCGTATCATTTACAGGTGACCCTTGAACACTGTGGGTTTGAACTGCACGGATCTACTTACACGCGGGTTCTTTTCAGCAAATGTGGGACTGCACAGTAGGACCACACAATCCAAGGATGGCTGAATCTGAGGATAGGGAAGAACCACTATGTGGAGGGCCAGCTGTAAGTTACACTCAGATTTGGCGGAGGGTGGGTGCCTTCGCATTGTTCAAGGATCAGCTGTACTTTAGTAGGACTTTTCAGTGATTTCCCATTACACTTGGGGAAAAATCCAGACTCCTTAATAGAGCCTGACAAACCGTGGCACCCAGCCACCAACTGCTAGGAGCGTAGCACTTGCCATCATAACAAACAGAATGTCTCACGCATTTCCATGTAGCTCAGTGCACCCCTGCTCAGGCTGAAAACCACTGAAATGGATGAAAAGTGCTATGGTAACTTTTTATATTGTCTTAAAATATCACAAAAATATAAGTTCAGCCTGAAATGAGTTTTCCCTACTGTTATTCCTAAACTAATCACACGCATCATATCCTCCTCTAGAGTTAAAAAAAAAAAAGTGGCTAGAATGAAGCAGTTTGCTAGTTTGAAAATTACTTCTCCAGTTTAATTCTCAGAAATGAAATTCTGTTTATATGACAAAAGAATTCCTATTGAAAACTAAGGCTATATGTTTTATTTAAAAAAAATGGGGGGGAAGGTTAGGTTTTTTTTTTTAATTTACTTATTTTTTTTTTTAATGGAGGTACTGGGGATTGAACCTAGGACCTCATGCATGCTAAGCGCTCACTCTGCCACTGAGCTACACCCTCCTCCGAGGTTGTACATTTTAAATGTATCAGCTTTTGTAGTACTACTTTTCAACAGGGAGAGGAAAGGCAATTTTACTTTTCTGTTTTGGATAATGTAATAACCTAGTCAGTTTTTTTCTTGCTGTTCCTAATAGATTGCTAGTACAGTATTTCAGGATATTAGTGGTATTGCTGCTGTATTTATTCTGTACAACAGCAGCTGAAATGTGTGGAGATACTCTGAGGAGTAGGACTTTTTCTCATAATAAAACCCTTTGTGGCTGAATATATTTATGAAGCAAGTTAATTTTTCTTGTCCAGATAAGTAAAGAGTGCAACCATATTTGAATCTTTCAGTTCAGAATATGATGAGCATTACTATGGTATGTGTAGATGGTTTAGGAAAGAGATGAATTTAGTTGTCTTAGTCTATATCCTGTGATTTTTTTAAAAAGAAATTCCTCACCAGCTAATTTTGCCATTAAACTCTTCTTCCAGTAAGTAGATTGCAATCTTTAAAAAAAGAAGAAACTTCTTACTTGTGATCTCAGAAGAGCCAAATGGTAAAGAGGTGAAATCAGCAGGTGTGGTGTGATCCCACTGATCCCTCCTCGGATCCCGGGCGTCTCTGGTCTGAGTCAGTGGCTTTTTGGCTCAGCTCAGGGCTTACCCGACTCGCCCGTCCTGGAGCCCTTATGTCCATGTGGGCATCATTCAACTGTATCTTTAACTTACACAGTAAGATTTCTGAGGTCCTTGTTTTTCATCAGAATGGGTTTGGGGTGGGGGCAGGATTGTGTTCACCAAGATGAATTTTGGTGATAAAAACGACCCGTTTTTCTTTGTTAAATATTCCAGTTTTTCAGCTGGTGGAATAGCTACGACAAGGCAATCAGCTACCTGGCCACGGTGCCCAAGTACCGCATCCAGGCCATGGAGATCGCCAAGCAGCAGGGACTGCTCAGAAAAGCCAAAGAGAAGGGCAGAAACAAGAAGTCCAAAGAGGAGATTCGTGACGAGGAGGAGAGCATCATAAAGAACATCATAAAGAGTAAAATCGACATAAAGGGAGGCTACCAGAAGCCCCAGATACGTGACCTTCTCCTGTTCCAAATTCTCTTAGCTCCTTACCACCTGTGCTCATACATAGTCTGGTACTGCCGGTGGGTCTATAATTTTAACATCAAAGGCAAAGAATACGGGGAAGAAGAAAGACTGTACATCATCCGTAAATCTATGAAAATGTCAAAGTCTCAGTTTGATAGTCTAGAAGATCATCAGAAAGAAACTTTTCTTAAACGGGAGCTTTGGATAAAGGAGAACTATGAGGTGAGTAGTAGCCGTCACAGCTCTGCTGGGGTTTTACTGGCATCTTCCCTGCCAGGTTAAAGCCAGGTGTGTGACAACGGGTCAGAGAAGTGTGCTCAAGTAATAAACATCTTATTTTTATTGAGAGTATGACTTTACTTATAGTGGAACAGTGGTTTTTAACCTGTAGTTCGTCTTTTAAAAAATGAACTTCAAATACTGTATTAATGCTAAAAATTTTAAGAATGGTCTAATTTGTTGTGCTAAGCTGCAGTGAGATGATACGTATGTTTGCAGGGGTGTCATAACTTTTATGTTAATTGCAGCATCCAAACTTTGGTCTTCTCACAATTTTCTGCCAATCATGTTTTGTTTTTTAAACTCTGTGGTTCTTAAGAATTCTGAGAGATACATGTATCTTATTTCAATTTCATAGACATTTCTCTTTATAAGTGGTGTCCGAAATAGATTTTACTGAAAGTAAAGTTTCAGTCTGAACTTAAGTAACTTAACTTACTATGAATTGCCAGGATGATTTGGCAAGTAGCTATATTCAGCCTGCTTATAAAGACATAAAAGTGGACGGTAACGTGGTAGCTCCTAAATTACTTGAGAAGTTTTCACTTTTAAGTAGTTTCAGCGGCCCGCTCTACAATAAACTGTGTCTGTCATAGAGCGCTATCCTGGGCTGATACTGTGTTATTACGTGAGGTCATCTTAGTTATTACTTCCTCAAATTTGGAAGTGAAATAATTTCTTTCTAAAATTTCATGCAGCTATCAAATTGGTTATGAAAAACTTGTCCATTTAGCTTCAGCTGACATCCCCTAATGGTTACAGAAATGAAAGATGTTCTTTGTTCTTAACCTTTGTGGTTTATTTAATCTTCTTTGGTAACTTTAAAAATATTTTGAAAAACCAATAATTATCTTTGAAGACAAAAGTAGTTGTAAGTTCAGTTTGGAGATAAATATATCTATAAGGTCACTTTGTTCTTTGGTTAGGATCAACAAAGCCTGAAAGGCATCAGTTAAATTTAGAGTATCATGTTAAAAAAATAAAGTGTTGATTCTTTAGTATTGGGCAATTTGTTGTAAGAGGAAATGTTTAAACACTTTAAACTCAGCTTATATATGATTTCAAGAGGGAGGCGAATGTTTTCTGGGTGACAGAAATCAGTGAAAAAATTACTAGTCCTTGTACAAGTTGTTCTTTTTTGTTTAACACTGAATGTTGAATTGCTTAATTTCTTAGTGTTTTTAGGTGCATGGTCTTCAGGAGACAAACCAATACATTCGTTGGAAACTTTTACCTAAAGTTATGTTTGAAAAATGTAGACGTGCCGTAAAGCTAATGACAAATGTTTCTCTCTGGATTGTAAGGTCAGTTTGTGTTATTTATATTTATAGGTCTACAAACAAGAACAAGAAGAAGAACTAAAGAAAAAGCTGGCAAATGACCCTAGATGGAAGAGATACAGGAGGTGGATGAAGAACGAAGGGCCTGGACGGCTGACGTTTGTGGATGACTGAAGACTGCTGGAATGCGACTGTGCCAGACCTCAATTGTGACGTTATTCTCATAACTGAATTATTCTAGCAGTGTATCGGCTGCTCTTTAGCAGTAACTAAAGTTCCTCAAATATCTGATTAAACAGAATAATGTAGAAATGTAAACCTTCCCTTAAACCTTTATACCTAAGACATTTATGATTGTTCAATTTTTATAATCAATTTGTGGATTTTGTTAAAAGATTTGACATGGAGATTTATTAGTTGCCATTTAAAAATTTTATATGTTTAGCTAAAAAATTTGACATGCAAATTTATTAGATACCATTTAAAATTTTACGTGTTAAGTGTTTATTCTTCAAGTGTTTCCTTATTCTTTGTTATAGTGCTACATTTTTCTGCTTTCATGGCCTCTAATGCTTTCACAAAACATAAAAAATTGTAACAGCATTTAATTACATTAGTGAGAGTGTCTTTCTAGACACAAATTTCTTCAGCAAAACGATTCAACTATCATGTCACCTTTATGACGGTCATTATAGGATTGAAATATGTTCCAAATATCTCTGTAGGAGAGTCTTCTGCCAGACTGTCTTTCTAATATCTCCCCCCAGTCATAATATTCTTAATAAGATCAGCAACTCTCCGGGAGAGTGAATCTACCTTCATATCCTTGTAGGATGATCCTGATTGCAGTCATTATAGGACTATAACTGTATTCGCAAACCTCTCTCCAGAAGGGACCTTGCGAAAAAGGTCTTTTGTACCACAATACTGCTTCTTAACCTCCCTTCAATTAAAATATGACAGAGCAGAGAGGTTCATATATTATGAAGTCCTTGAGTGGTGAAAAATCCATTGTATGTGAGCCCATTTACACGCATTTAAACCAGAAGGAGGTGCGTGGCTGTGTGCTGTTCTGTCCAACAGTGAAATATAAATGTTTTATACACGTGGAAGGGAAAGTAATGCACACCTCATCTGACCGAATCGAGTACAATACCGCTGCAAAGTATCGGAACACATTCATGGTAGTGAATCAATACTCCTGTTAGAAGATTTATCCCAGTCCATCATATTAATAAAATGGCTGCAATGTATCACAAGCTTGTTGGTATGACATTTAAAGTCAAAGATTAACCTATTGCTTTTGAATTATATAATTTTAAGAGATTAGTATAACAATAGATATGTAGTCTGTTTCTACTCAGAGCAAACTAGTCCTTTCAAGAGCTCAGCCCAAAAATGTGATGCATACAGAGAGGCTGGAGGGAAGAGTTCCATCCTTGCTAACATAGCAACAGACCTGAGGCGGGTTATTTGATCTGTGAGTGCTGGCCTCAGTTACTTCATCAGACAATTAGGAGAGGAGTTTGACCAGATTATCACTCAGGCCCTTTTGCAGCTCTAGAATTGTGAAATGATACAACGTTTGTATTTTTGTAAACTTTAGATGAAAGTGTTTTATGCATCCATCCTTTTTTTGGAGGGTGCAGAAGTTACAGAGCTAAATTATAGGGAGCTATGTTTCAAGCCTCAAACGCCCAACTCTTAACCAGAGATAAATGCGTTTGCTACATGCTGTGGTCGCTACAGTCAGCAGTCCCTGTCTCAGTGAGCGCGTTATCACACATTTAACACACAGCAGTATGTACTATCTAAGAACAGACGTATGTACCATTTGTTATGATGACCAGAAAGAAATGTAGACCCTTGCCCCTCTTAAAATTTCAAATAGATTTACGATTAACTGTATTTCTAACCCAGTGATAAGGAAAAATAAGAGGACTGGGTATGTTAGCATTCATAAAGTTTGGCTGATAAAAACACTGTATCTTTGGGTATTATTTTGCATGTATGCTAGAGTGCTGTATTTCCTTCTGTCTTTATATAGAACTCTCATTTCTGGCAGCCTGCTGACTTGGTAAAAGTTTGGTCGGGCTCTTGGAATCGTGGTCATGGCATGGGTGAGATGAGTGGACTCTCCTTAATGGAAGGACAGCGGTTCTTCCCTTCCCTCAACAAAATGGCTTATGCTTCAGAATCCTGGAGCGAAGGGAGGGCAGTTAGTCATCACAAGTGTCATTCAAGTATTCTGGGTATTTTTACTGTCTCCATGCGCTGCCCATCCCCCACAAAAAACCAGAAGCTCCATGTAAGAAACATCGGGAGAAGAATCCTGGGCAGAGGGTCCCAGAACCCCACTAGTCAGAACATTTTTCTTGTGCTTCATTTTAGGGCTATCACCATTTCCGTTTTGCGTGGTATTCGGGGGTTTATGGAGCATGGCTGCTCAATGCTTTCTATTTATTATCACTTCCTATGATTGAGGTCAGGGCTAAAATTACTCTTCGGACAATATTCATGTCAGATATCCTCACTGCAGATTCCACTACTGACTCTTCCCTCACTGGTCTTTCTTCCTTAC